AAAGCAAGGAGGGAGACAAGACAAAGAAAATTGCAAACCACGTCCATCAACCTCAACTCCCTCTTCTTCTCTCTTCCTCTCCGATGCGGACAGTCCGTCGTCACGTACCAACCCACGAAGTCGTCACCCCGCTTAGTCCTCCCGCACCCGTCAGGTTCGCCCCCCATAGTCCGCCGTGGCCCGCGCGCGTTCGGCACCAGCTCGTCGGGTCGCCCGACTTCCACTTCAACTCACGTCTTACTTCGTTTGCGAGCCGACCCTCACTGATCGCTCTCCCCGAGCTTCCAACAACTAGTTAAGAGAGCTATCTAATCGCTCAGTCGGAATTTATAGCGTGCATGCATGCGCGAAGAACACGGAATTGCAAGGACTTAGAAAAGAGATTAGGAGAGGGAGCACCTGCGTTCTGCATGGCCAGATCGGGGCGTGGGGGATGTAGCCACTCTCCACGCATCGATCCGAGCATGCAGTACGCGGGCTAGCTAGACACAATAAGAGAAAAAGCGAGAGTGGGAAAGACGAAGCTCAAGAAGAAAGATACAGTTACAATGGCGCCGGCCCAAAATTACAGTTACACACACTATTAAGGGTGCCGACTAATCAAATCTTCGTTGCAGCCGCAAAAAGAAGCGCGTAAGCAAAAAGCGTTGCGCGGCAAATGGAAATCCAAAATTCCAAAATTCCTATCTAATGCAAAAAAAGCGAAAAGCACGAATTCCGATAGGAAAGTCCCAAATTCCGAGAGCCATTGGGGCTCGACAAGATTCACAAAGAAAATTCAAAAGGAACGAAGCAAAAATTCCCGCGCGGTCTCCGCGCCTAAAATCCAACAACAGAAAACGAAAAGGAAGGACGTCAACCAGTATTATTCGCGCGCTCGACGGCGCGCCACTTAATCGATCATCCCAAGACTCGCCCGACACTGCACCCAATCATCCGAAAAGAGACGAAGCAAAAAGACGAAGAAACGAGGACACCGATGCAATTTCCCTTCAATCCCGATCTCCCATAATTGGCCCATCCTTCCCAGCTTAGGACCCCTCATCGTTATCGCGCAGAAAATCGCGCGGAATAGAAATCGGTTCGTCACATATGTGATACCCAGGGGGTTTGAATCTTAAGCAAGCTCATGCTTGCTTGAACCATGACACGTGTCGATCTCTCTAATCGAATTTTCTACATTGCCACTTACCGTGTTAAGGAGTGTGGACGTCATCTAACGTGGCATACGAGGCTCTATTCTACGAATTCCTCAGGAAGGGCTCTTTTCAATCCAAGGAGGGGATTTTTCGTGCCATCGCTGTGGCACATACTAATCAACCATGCATCAATGTCCTAAGGGGAGGGGAAAGGGAAGACGATACATGGGGGCATGGCGAGGGGGTGGGTTACTCGGGAGTGGGGGTAGAAAGCGTTCCAATCCCTCGATTGTCTTTGGAAGCTCCTGATACCGGACGATCCGGTGGAAGGGAGGAATCGATTACCACTATGAGGGAGGCAGGCGAGATAGTCAGGGTAGAAGGTGGCGAAAGTTCGGAAGAGTGTTGCGGAATCCATCGTGGTTCTCGCATGCGGGGATAGTCCCCGTGATCATGCAATAAACCTCGACGATATTGTGGCCTCGCCACGCGGCACTGAAGAGGAGGGCATGAAGACAGAAGTCGGGGAGGGCACACCGGGTTGAGGGCTGAGGATGAACAGTGACAACAAGGTGGGTGGCGGAGAAAAATCGGAAGGTATCAATCGGGAAGGGATTGCGGGGGAAGGTGATACGGGTGGTGATTTGGCGGAGGGTGAGATGGTCAAGGGGACGACGGGATAACGACCCGGGACGAAGCCCGATGGCCCGCATCGGTACGGGCTCGAACTGGTGGACGGTCGGAGGTGGAGGGGGAGGGGGATCGGCTTCGTCGCCGCCTGGCCGGTGCGCTCAAAGTCTCGTCAGCTGGGTCCCAATCTTCGGGCCTGGGCGGCTCCGGATCTTTGGTTGGATAGTCGGCGATCGACGAATTTGCTCCGCTTGCAAATTGCAGCTGTCGCTTTCCGGCCGCAATCTCCTCTCTTTTGCGCGCTGCCTCGGGGTCCTCCGCCTGAGCGTTCGTTCGTTCCACCTCTTCCGCCGAGATTTCCCACTCGGATTCTTCCAACTCCAACTCTTCCTCTTCGTCGTCTTCCTCTTCTTCTTCTTCGTCCTCACTCTGCTCTCCCTCGCTGTGTTTACTATAACTGCCTTTTTCCGTTGTTTCTTCCTCCTCTTCTTCCTCCTCTGTGCTTTCTTCTTCTTCTTCCGCTTTTTCTTCTATCGCTAGCTCCTCGTCTTCGGAGACTATTCGATCCTGGAAGAAAGCGAGGTCGACTATCTCCTGCGGGTCCAGGTATCCCCGTTGCGATGGCGGGTTGTTGTTGAATCGCGGCTCCTTCAGGCACGCTGACCACTAAAGGTACGGCGTCAGAGTTCGTGTGAGGACGTGCGGGACCGGGCTCTCGTCGCTCTGCGAGACGATATCAAGGGGAAGATCGTCAACCAACTCCGCGAGAGGAACCGTGAGTTCTTGCACAATCAGCTGGCGATGGCCGGGCCGCACCGATCCGAACAGGAATCCAAGAAGATCGCCTCGCACCTCCGTTCGCCAGGCCTGGATGATCAGCAGCTCCAGGTACTCAATACAAGCACGATGCTCCTCGTCCCTTGTCCACGTGAACCGCACTCCGACTAAACACAACGACAGATCGTCGAAATATTCACGCCACAGCTCCCACTGCCTGGGATCGAGCAGGGGAACAACAAGTGGCTTTAAACAGAAGGAGAAGCGAGGGTGAAGACTAGACTGCCAGAAGGTGGGGAAGAGAGATGGGAGAGCGAAGGTGGAGAGTTGGGAGCGGTTCATTGGGGACGTTGAAAGGGGATGAGCTCCGGAAGCACCACCGCCGGCTCGTGCTAGAACGCTCGAATCCCACCGAGTTCGATGTCGTCCGTAGGGACAAGATTGTCCCTGTGGCGCGTGAGCCAGTGGTTCCACTCCGCGGCCAACTGCTGACCCCACTCCCTTAGTGACGTCCGGATCGCCGTATGTCGCAGCGGACTGATCACGCTGATATCGCCGTTGATGGAGACGAAGGTAGACACGTGGCTAACCCCCAGGGCTGACAGCCGATGAACAGCTACCGCTTCCGTCAATACAACCGTGTGACGAGTGCTCGCGAATCGAAACTTTGCTGCCGCATATACCCCTCTGGTACAAAAGAACTGCGCAAGCCGTAGAAGATCCAGATTTGAAGCGTTGATGATGAACTTGCCGAATCGTTGAGATGTAGCCTTGTGGCGCTAGCAGATGATCGTCGAGAGCTCGCTCCGTGAGAAAACTCATGGCGATGGTGGTGGGGACGGAGTATAGGACAAGGCGAGAGATGCAGGGGAAGAAGAAAGTGATGGAGAGTCGTCGTCTTCTTCCGTAGAGGAGGAGGAAGAAGATGCAGGAGAGGGGGAGGAAGGGAGGGAACGTAGATAGGACACGTGGCGTACGATCGGTCGCGCCGATCGGCTTCCCGAGATCTCTGGCACGAGGCGCACGGTGTTCACTCCGTTTGGGCCAAGCTCGGTCACTCGAAATCGCTTGAAGAATCGTGGCGCTATCTTTCCCTGGCGAGCACATTTCCTCACCTGCACCAGGTCCCCCAACTTGTACTGGGGCTGCGGACCCGCGTTCCCGTTCTGGGCCTCGTAACTACGGATCTACCAGCCGTGGGCCAACTTGGTCATTTTCTGGCGCTTTCAGGCTAATCGGGGCAGGGACCTTTCCATCAATTCCATATGTCGCTTGGCCTTGTCCCGAACCGTGGCCCTCGTGGGCCGTCGGTTCAATGACGATTCGTCCGGGAGGCTGGGTATCGAGACGCAGGCCACACTGTTGGTCCGTAATTGGAAAGGGCTCAGGCCCGTCGATTCGTGGGGCGTCCCTCGATGGACCGCCAGGATGTGATCTACGATATCGGGCCAGGGCCTTGGGTCCCGCGCCACGATATTGCGTCGTCGCGCAGTTTTTATCACTCTATTTGCATTTTTTACCACCCCGTTAGACTGCGACATGTGGGGTGCGGTATTCCGGATAGCAACGTCGTGTACGACCAGATTCCTCAAGACTTCTCCCCTAAATTCTACCCCATTATCGGTCAGGATTTCCTCCGTGTCCTGGTGCATCCCTAAAAACCGATTGACGTATCGGGCAATTTCGGCCGCCTGTCGCGTACGACAGGGATACGCCTCGATCCATTTCGAAAAATGGTCCACGAATACGAGTAGGATTGAATATTCACAGCTATTGGGTCCAGGGGGCACCACAATATTGGTAATA